TTAATTACCGATTATCAAGAGCTAGACGTATTATTGAAAATTCATTTGGGATTCTAGTCTCAAGATGGAGAATTTTTCAACGTAGTATATGTTTAAACCCAGAACATATAGATACAATAATAATGGCTGCAGTAAATTTGCATAATTTTTTAATGACAGAAAATAACAGTAACAGACGAAAACATTTATTGTCCTCTAAATTATGTTGATAGTGAAGACAACATTGGAAATATTACACAAGGTGCATGGAGGTTTAGTTTAAATAATGTAAATAATTTGCGACGTACGAATATACACAGAGCAACAAGAGAAGCCTATGTTCAACGAGACACTCTATGTGAATATTTATCATCACCATAAGGTGAAGTACCATGGCAATTGGAATATATTCATAGGGGATATAACAGAGATATACAATAAAAATGTAAGAGATAAATATATGTTATAAACTTTATTTTATATATTATATATGAATACATAATAAAATATTTAATACATGTAACATTTATATTTTGATAACTATATAATAAAATGTTTTGTAATCTGTTTTACAGATTATACAATATTTTCATTATTTGACCTTTTAGTTGAGATTTTTGAGGTTCCGAATTTTTTTTTAATTGACATGCAACTGCTTTTGCAAAAATGTCATCTTCATCCGTTGCATCAAAGAATGTTACATTTGGAGCTTTGTTTTCTAAATGTGATGAAACTACTGACGTTAACTTTAAAAATGATTCTTCCATCTTATCTGCTGAAGGGGTGCGTTTAATATTTTTTTTTAATCTTTTTGGTAGATTAGATGACATGCCTGATGACGAATCAAAAGATAATGTTGGAGATACCAATTCTCGATCAAGTTCATATGAAATTTTACTGTTAGGTAAAGATGTTGAATACGCTGCTGGAGAAATTGCTTTGTTTTCTGATGTTTCTAAATACTCTAGTGGAGGAAATATTTTTTTGTTACTGCATGCAATACTTAATGGATTTGGATTATGTGATGAAGAAAAATCATCATCGCTATCAAATTCTGAAGATTCTGAAGAAGAAAATGAAGAGAATGAATGCGTTCATATTAATTCGTTTTGAGTATTAATATGAAAAGGTTTGTATAATTCTGAAGATTGCACTACATTTGTAATATTTGCAGGTTCAGGATTTATAGGAAATAATCTGCATAGCTTACTATGTTTATCTGGTTCTTCCATATTTCTCTGGGAATAATTATCGCTATTATGTGAGCAAGATTTGAGAACTGAGTAAGAAGGAGAATGGAATGTAGAAGGTATCGATGAACTTGTAGAAGCTACTATTGCTGATGCATTCACAGTTGCTGACATTGATTTAGGCAATTTATTAATTATATCATCTTTCTTATTTGATCGAATCTGATTTTTTGATATATTTGAGGATCCTGCAAATAAAATAATAACTCAAATTTAAAATAATAACTCAAATTATAGTTTTTAAATAAATATAAAAAATTAAATATATAAAATTATTAGCTATCTACTAAATATAAACTCACCTAACTTTTCTGTTAACTCATTTGTCTTGATTGGATGTAATTCATTGATTGGATGTTTTGAAGTCAAGTCCGATATATTACTTATAGTTCTAAATAAAATAATTTAAATAATTGAAATAGAAGATTATATAAACGTTTTATAAATGTAACAGAAGTGCAAGAATTAAATAAAATAACTTACTTCCTACTCTTGACAAATTTGAACAAAAAGTTCATTTGTTCGTATAAAGGAAATGGTGGTCTCAATGAATTTCCACTTCCACTTTTTGTTTCTATTTCCCGCAATTTCTTCTCACGAGAATATCGCTCACGCCAATCTTGCCCATCTTGCTTGACAATCTGAAGCTAAAAGATACAATAATTAATCTATATCATTACATCAGTATATATAAGAAATACGTTTCTCCTGATAGCAAAATCAGTTAAAACCAGACAATTTGTTTTCAAAAAAACAGTAATTATACGCAATTAAGGAATAATTAGCTACTAACACAATTTGCTATCTTATTTACAGACAACTGTCTGTTTTCGATAGATTTTAAGGTATATAATTATTAAAAAGCATGAAATATTACTCCCTTACAAAAAAGTATTACTAGCTCTGATAAATTGGCCAATAATAAATTATTGTTGCTCTGTAATTTTATTATTGATAGGAGATATAAGATTACTCGTATCAATAATAAAATCACTGAGCAACAATAATTTATCACTGGTCAATTTTTTACAGTTAGTAATATTTTTTTATAAAGGCTGTACAAAATATTGATATAAAAAATGTATTCTATACCTGTTGCGTTTAATATTTCTCCTATTTCTTTCCAGGAATTGTTTCTTTTGTTAATATCTTTAAAGTCTTTTGATTCTTGGTTATAAATATGCGGGTAACCTTTTACGAGATCCACTAGTAATGAATCTTCCTCTCTTGAAGTCAATGCATTAAGCATTCCGCTCTCATTTTCCTCATTTTCTAATTTTTTTAAATAATATTTGTTATGATCTTCCATTTTAACGTCACTAATTTTTATTATTTTTACTGCACTCTACAAATTAATAGGAACACCTGAACAACCTGAACTATATTTTGTTTCACTCCAACTTATTACACTAGTTCAGCAGAACGGTTAAAAAAACAGACCAACGATACAGTAGAATTAGTTTGTCATCTTAGTGAGAATTCGAGTCTGACATTTGATTGGCTGCACATAGACCATATGCATAGAAATTTCGTTCTTATGGATCTTTTCATTTCTTATGCATATGTTATGCTTATGTTTATGCTATGTTATGTAAATCAATATGGCGACATAATGCTAGATGCTCATTGGTCCATACAGTCTTATGCTATGCATATGCAGTTATGTCAATTTGTGTGCGATAGCCCTAACGCGAGCCACGCTCACCTCTAAGTCGACACAAGACTTAGGGCGGTATTCATAGTCGAATCTTATATATAAGATTATCTTAAGAACGATCTTAAGATGTCACTTAGTTTCACAGTCGCGACTTAAAATGTCGTTAAAGTCGCGCCTTATTATACTTGATAAAGATTACCTTCAAATAAGATCGTTTTAAGAACAGTCTTAAGATAACGAGGAGGTTCATAGTCACAACTTAAGAGCAATCTTAATATTATGTACTGAGGCAGTTATTCATAGACGAATCTTATATTTAAGGTCGTCTTTTATGACGTAATGGAGAATAAATAAGATCGTCTTCGTTAAGTCAAGTCCGATGTGCTCTTAAGATAATGGTTACAAAGCGCTTACTAATCTGCTTTCTCTGCTGAACGTAACCAATATTGGTTACGTATATTAGTTATTTTAGAAAGCAAGTGTAAAAAATTGTTATAACGAATAAGAAATGGACTTTCCAGATATAGAAGACATAGAAGAAATTAATGACGATATTATAGCAGTACGAGCTATAAAACGATATATTCGTGACGGACAAAATCCATTTGAGTTTTATAGTGACAATGAATTTAAAAAAAGATTCAGATTTTCTAAGAATTCGGTGATTCGGTGATGGAATACTACCAAAAATACAGGAGAATTTACAGAAAGTAAACAATCGTGGTCTACCTATTGCCCCTGTTTTTCAGTTATTGATATGTTTACGGTTTTATGCGACTGCAAGTTTTCAGGTTAGATGCATGATACATATCCTTTATGTCTTAAATTATAAAAACATAAATATTTTAGATTAAAGGCTATTATAAAATAATGTAATTTCAATATTTTAGATTATTGTTGGAGATACAATAGCAGTGTCGCAGTCAACAATATCCAGAACTGTTTTTCGTGTATCTATTTTACTTGCTAGTCTGATTAGAAAAATTATAAAAATGCCTGCTTCGCAAGAAAGGAGGACTAAAAATCATATGCTATTCCGAACTCTTGGATACAGTATTGCCAGACATCGGGGAAGGAAGTGTAGTACCAACATGAAGAAATAGTAGTATATATGTCGTACCAACTTAACAGAATAGTAGTACAAATAGTCGTATCATGCATATTGTCGCGGATCCGACGGGCTGAGCTCCCGTCGGGCAGCGAGCTGACGCGCTGATTTCGCCCAGCGCAGGGCGCGGTGAGGAAGGAGAGCGAATCGAACAATTATGCACTTGTTTTTTAAATCACTTTATTGGTGAGACGACCACTTTTCGAGGGTGCTGTTCGACGGCTAGATGGTTCGAGGCGGAAATCTTCAAGTGCCGACGGCCGGGTCAGCCGAGCGCGCCGGAAATCTTGTTGATAGAGAGGCGCTCTCTCCGCGGACGGAAATCTTGCTCACGAGCGACGGAAATCTTCCGCGACCCTGGCGCGCGTCCGCGAGCCGTCGAACGAACCGATTCTCGAAAGGGTAGAAGTCACAACGTCGTTGCACACTATGAACACACAAGTAGACAGAGCACAAACAAAGTTAATTGAGTAACGATAGCGCGCGAACGGCGCGAGCGGCAAGCGACTAACGAATTTCGCCGACTTGCTTTCAAGAGGTCGGAGCTGGCCCGAGAGAGCGAGATCGACTCTCGGCGCTCGAGAAGAGTCGCGGCGATGCTCCTCCGCGTCGAAGGTAGCGCGAGTGCAACGGAGCTCGCAGTCCCGCTAAAGATACAATAGCCGGCGGACCAATTGAACACGCGACGAGCTCTCCGATATTGCCTGCGCTTGAGATCAGCTGTTTCCCAGCTGTCCGAGACGTGCTCCTCTCGTGATAGATGCGAAGCACGGACTGCCCTCGTCGTCGGCGAGGGCAGCTTTTAAAGAAAAGGCACTTGGCGACAAGTTGCTCGCTGGTTGGTCGCGGTTGCCGAATCTTCGAGATCATTTCCAAATAAGGCCTGCATGGTAACAGCGGCGATCTAGCATGCGAGTAGAGAAGCGCGA